GGGGGGGGGAAAGAGGGGGGAAAAAGGAGGAAAAAAAGAGGGGGGAAGAGGAAAAAAGAGGAGAAAAAAGAGGAAGAAAGAGGGGGAAAGAAAGAAAAAGGAGGGAGGGAAAAGAGGGGGGAAAGAAGAAATAAGAGGGGAAAGGAGGAGGAAAGGAAGAGAAAAGAGAGAGGAAAAAGAGGGGCAGAAAAGAAGAAAAAAGAGGAAAAAAGGAAGAGAAAAGAGGAAAAAAGGAAAAGAGGAAAAAAGAGGGAAAGGAAGAAAAAGGAGAGGGAAAGGAAGAAAAAAGGAGGAAAAAAGAGGGAGAAAGAGAAGGGAAAAAGGGAGGAAAGGAAGAAAAAAGAGGGGAAAAGAAGAAAAAAGAGGGAAAAATAAGGAAAAAAGAGAGAAAAATAAGAAAAAAGCGAGGAAACAAAAATCACCCCCTCCCCAAATTTTCTTTTTCCCTCTTTTTTTTTTTTATTTAATTTATTTTTCCTTTCCTCCCCTCCTCCGCCATGAGTTCTTACGTCGCCAACTCGTTTTATAAACCAAATCCCCCCGTTCCTGCCTATACCATGCAAAATTATGGAAATTATGGAAGTGTGCCTGAGGTTCCGTCACTCAGGTACCGCTACACTGACTCGGATCTCAACATCCCCCTCCCCTCCTCCGGGGCTACCAACTCCCTCAACGGCTTGGACATGTCTACAACCCCCCGAGCTAACCCTGAGCGACCTTCTTGTACGGTCATGGGTTCTTCAGGGCATCCTTTAAGCAGAGATGATCAAGTATCCCTAAATCCTGGGATTTACAGTCAGAAGAGTGGGAACACGACGTTGGAGGAAAGATCTAAGAGCTCGGGTGAAATCAAAGCTGAGCCTGGGCAAACAGGACAACAAGGAGGAGCACAACTGCAGCAGCAACAACCTCCACAAATTTACCCCTGGATGACCAAACTACACATGAGCCATGGTAAAAAAAACTTTCACTTCTTGATTTTTTTATTTTTTTGGGGGTTTCACAAGATTTTTTTCTTTTTTTTCTTTTTTTTTTCCCTTTTTTTTTTTTTTTTTTTTGCCTTGGGTTTTTATAGGCCATACGGGGCAAATAATAAAAAACCTGAGGTCGTAAATTTTACGACTAAGGCATCAATTGCTCGTAAAACTGTCCACTAAAAGGCTTAGAGGCTATATACGCCCAAATTTATGACAGCATAATTGGATCATAGAAACAAAACGTGTATAAAAGGCAATATTCCATTTTTTTTTGGGAAGGGGGGGTTAAAAATAACTTGAAATACACATGTTCTTTGAGGGTGAGCTTTAAAAAAAAAAAGACACTAGAAGTGAAAGGGAAAGGAAGTAGATTTTCCTTCTCCACCTTCCCAGGGTTGAGGAGGGGAAGAGGGGGGGTGGTGAAAAAAAAAAAGACAAGATCACCCAAGAAAAGATATTTCCCTCCTTTGTACAATTCCTTATTGTCCGAGAGAGGAAACAGGTTCAGTTCTGGCTCATCTACATGTGTTTGATCTGGGGCTTCAGAGAGGAAAGGGGGGGAACTTTGAAGGGGAGAGGTTGAAGGTGTTGAGAATTTTAAGGCTCCTTCCCTCCCTGTGTGCCCCCCAACCCTAGGCAACTTTTATATATTCTAGATTTGTAACCGGGTTTTATCATTAAATAATAAGAAGAAGAATTAAAAACAATTTAAATCCATCCAGAATTGCTTTGGCTTTTCACGCTGTGTCTTCCCTTTTGAATTTATATATCTATATATTTATTTTAATTTATTTATTTTTTTCCCCAGAAACGGATGGTAAACGCTCCCGAACCAGCTACACCCGTTACCAAACACTGGAATTAGAGAAAGAATTTCATTTTAACAGATACCTGACCCGGCGGAGGCGCATTGAGATCGCCAACAACCTCTGCCTCAACGAGAGACAAATCAAAATCTGGTTTCAAAACCGGAGGATGAAATGGAAGAAAGATTCCAAGTTGAAAAGCAAAGAGGCTCTTTAGGTGGGATGGCAGGAAATTGGGGGGTGGGGGGGGATATCCCTGCTTTTTTTTTTTTATTTTATTGCTGTTGTTGGCTTTTTTTTTCTTATTTTTTCCCCTTTTCCATCATTTCTGGTGGATGGTACCTTGAGAAAACTTTGATTTTTGGGGTAGGGAGGGAGGGAGCTGCTGGATGGACCCTGGTCTGGACCCTCACAAATCGCTCAGACAAAGGAAATCTCTGATTAGTATGCAAAAAAAAAAAAAAAAAAAATCAAAAAGGAAAAAGAACCAACCTCGCTGGCAGCTTCAGGCGAAAAAAATTCAGTGTCTCGCTCTTTAAGTTGTTACTGAATGTCCCAACCTGTGCGGTCTTTGGGGGGAAAATCACCAAGAAACAAACAAACAAAAATCACTAAAAAGACTTAAAAAAACCCAAAACTCCACAGGGTGGTTGGGTCGTGTCGTCTCCGCTCTAAAAATCGCAATATTCATCGGGAAAATGGAATAATAATAATAATAATAATTAAAGAAAAGGCTGGTGAAGAAGAAAAAATGGAAAATAAGGAAAAAGGGGAAAAAAAAACCCCAAAGCCAGTGAGTTTGGTGAAGTCCCAGCCTCACTCTCTGCTCGCCCTGATGGGATGGACTGGGAATCGCTGCTGGGTTTGACTGGGAATCACTGCTGGGTTTGACTGGGAATCGCTGATGGGTTTAACTGGGGATTGTTGATGGGTTTGACTGGGAATTACCCAGGGAAGATGCTCTGGCACCTCTAGAATCGGAAAAAAACATTTTAAAAAATCATATTATCCCTCGCTGGGCCACTGAAAAACCCCCAAATCAACTGAAAAACCCCCAAATCCACTGGGCACCTCTAGAATCGGAAAAAAACATTTTAAAAAATCATATTATCCCTCGCTGGGCCACTGAAAAACCCCCAAATCCACTGAAAAACCCCCAAATCCACTTAAACCCCCCCAGGATAGGAGCCGGGGGGGTCCCTGGGGTGTGTTCGCGTGTTTTCTCGGGACTCGGTTGGCATCATTTTATTATTATTTGCATATAAAAGCAATGAATAGAGTTGGGGAGGGAGGGAAGTGGGGGGGGACACACCCCAATTTTGTGTCACTGTCCGAAATTTCCGGGCAGGAAAGTGCAGTA